TGTGTCACTTCCTCTTTGAATAAACGACGTAATGTCAGTCAATAATTGCTACATAATATTATATTGTAATATTAAAGCAAGGGTCGACAAATGCTATATTGTATGGGAGGCTGATTACGTTCCTTCTGATTTATCTGTACTGGTCCAAGATGACTTATACAAGCCATTCTATGGAACTATAATGTCTTAATCAATTTCTTTATGGGAAAACAATTAGTGCATAATTTCTCATTATTTTTAATAGCAAGATCCCAATGTGACTCGCCAGTATCCGTTGCATGAAAGGGACGAGGTAGCAAGAAATAACGGTGCCATTATTAGTGCCATCGTGTGGAGAGACATAGTATGTTAACGTGATATTCTTCGCTGTTGCTAAAGGATGAATATCTAGATCCATTCGATTATGAGTTATATACGACTTACGAGTCTTACATTCATGAAAAATTAACCAACTCTCTATTTAGTGGAATGAGAGAGAGAATTATTGAGTTGCTGGAACTTATACATAGTGATGCATGTGGTCCTGTGTTTATTCATGCCATAAAAGGTTATTCTTATTTTATTATATTTACTGATGATTTCTTTATATATGAACAAGTATACTTGATGAAATACAAGTCCAAGACCTTCTAGAAATTCAAAAATATAAGAATAGTGTAGAAAATTAGATTGGAAAGAGTATCAAGACTCTTCAATCAAATCGAGAAGGTGAGTACTTAAGTGTAAAGTTTACACAGTTCCTCAAGGATCATGAGATTCTATCTCAATGGATACCTCATTATACACCTCAACTCAATAGTATATTGGGAACGAGGAATCGCATGTTGGCACGCTATTAAAAATGGTGTGGTCTATGATGAGTTTCGCCAGCCTACCCATCTCATTCTAAGGATATGCCTTAGAGTCTGCAGCTTGCCTTCTGAACAGAATTCCGATTAAGTCGGTAGTGTCTACACTATATGAGATATAGAAAGGGAAGAAGTCTGATCTTAAGGTTGTTAAGATTTGAAGCTGCCCTGCCCACGTTAGAACATACAACCCCGACAAATTGAAATCTAGGACGGAACGATGCAAATTCATAGGATAGCCTGAGAAACCTTGTGGGTATTATTTCTATCATCTCGAGGACTAAAAAGTCTTTGTAGCTAAGAGGGTAGTATTCCTTGAGAAAAAACACATTCTCGGTAGAGAAAATAAGAGCATGATAGAGTTGAGTGAGGTTTGAGAACCACAACCCGAGTTTGTTTAGATACATAGCACATAAATTTTGACTTTATGTAGGTCCAACATAGTACCCCATCCTCCTAAAAGATATGTGAGATATATCAAAAGAGATGATGTTGAGGATATTGATCTTTAGATCTATGATGAGGCTATTATAAGTATAGACTCCGTGAAGTGGCAAGAAGCATGAACTCTAAGATGGATTCCAAGTATTTCAAAAAGGTTTAGAACTTAGTTGATGCACCTGAGGGTATGTACCCATTGGTTGTAAGTGTATCTTTCAGAAGATGATTGGAGTAAATAGAAAGGTGAAGATCTATAAAGAAAAGCTAGTGGTTAAGGGATATCATCAAAGGTAAGGTGTTGACTATGATGAAACATTCTCACTTATAGTTATGCTAAAATTTATTCGAATTCTATCGGTTATTGCAACATTCTATGAATATGAGATCTAGTAGATGGACATGAAAATCATGTTTCTCAACAACAACTTCGAGAAGGAGATGTATATAATATAATATAAGAGATTTGTGTCCAAAGAATATCCGTATAATATGTGTAGGTTGCTTAAGTTCATTTATAAACTAAAGCAAGCTTTCCGAAATTGGAACATGAGGTTTGATGAGACGATCAAATCTTATTATTTCGTTAAGAATGAAGATGAGCCTTGAGTGTATAGGAAGACAAGTGAGAGTGCTATCAACTTCTTAGTACTATATATGGATGACATTCTGATCATTGAGAATGATATATGAATGCTCTTCATGGTAAAAGCTTAGTTATCTAGACATTTTTTCATAAAAGACTCAGGGGAAGTATCATATATCTTGGCGATTCAGATCTATAGAGATAGATCTAAGAGAATACTTGACTTGTCTCAATTTAAGTATATAGACATCATTATCAAAAAGTTTAACATGAAAAAATCTAAAAGATCTCTCGTATCGATGAGATATGAGATATCACTTTCTAGGAGCATGTCACTAAATACTTTTGAAGAAAGGGCAAACTTAGATAGGATACCCTATGCCTTAGGATCTATCATGTATATTATGTTATATATCATGCTTGATATAACGTATGCTTTATGTGTTACAAGTAAATATTAGGTGGATCCAGGTTTAAAACATTGGAATGTAGTAAAATATATATTTAAATACTTGAGAAGGACTAAGGATCTTTTACTGGTATATAGATGAAGTAGCCTCAGGGTTGAGGGTTATAGAGACTTGAGTTTCCAATCCGATGTTGATAATAATAAGTCTAATTTAAGGTATATGCCCTAAATAGAGGAGTAGTATGCTAGAAAAGTTTCAAGCAAGATACTACTACTGACTCGACCATAGAAGCGGAGCACATTACTGTAATAAAAGCAACGAAAGAAAGAGTTTGAATGAAAAAGTTCATTACAGATCTGAGCCACAAAGGCAGTAGTGGCCCACATGCCACCTTGTTCTTTACACAAGGGTTATGAGTGAAGTACACATAGGTAGGGCCATAGTGCTAGTCATAGGTGTCGTACAAGCCAATCATGTGAGTGATGATACATATGACATGATACGTACTCTTTTTACTTATTATTTTTTTTATATTTTTCTTACTTTATGTTGCATGTTGCATGTATATTGATGTCTACGAATATGCACAATGAGAATTAAATTGTGATAAGATCACAATAATAAGATCGATTCACCTTTAAATATAGACCATAAAAAATCATAATTATAGGTTACTCGAAAGTGACATCGAAATAACTGGACAGATTGGTGTATTGTATACCTTTCTATATGATGGAGATAGTTGGTTTTATAGTTTCTTGTGTGAGGACACTAGGGATATAGTACAAGTATTAATTGAAGAATGAGTTTACTGATTGATCCACTCACGAAATACTGGATGGTTGATGATACCTCATTGGGTGTAACAACCAATCTTAGTAGGCTAATTGAGTATCGATAGAGGATTATCCACTCTCGGTATCATGAGAGAAATATTATATATATTCTTACTTAAGTAAATCCCTAGTTAGGATTATTCGAATTGAGAGAGAAAAAGTCTTTCGAGAGAATTCGATTAGAGCGAGACTCGAGTAAAAACTGTATAGGCCTAATAGCACCATGATCGGTATATGGTCTATGAGATATTAGAAAGATAAGAGACTATAGATACATGGTAATTGAGGACAAATAGGTCCAATGGATTGGATTCTCTTATAACATTTGAGGACTGCGACGTAGTGGCCTAGTATGTTCATAGTCGATAAATCAAGTGAATTATTATAAAAGATAATAATTCACTAAATCATAAGGAGTTCTAATATGACTCACGATTAACTCAATATTGGGCCTAGAGGGTCACACATATATGATAGATGTTGGAACAAACAAAGGTTCGGACATGAGATATCCGTTGAAGCCCCTATCTTATTGGATATCCAGTAATCCCTTGAATTATTGAATATCCAGTAAGTCCATGAATTATTGGATCTTGTACTCACTTTTGTAGGGGGAGCTGTGTCATGGCAATCCACATTATAAAGGCGTAGTGCTCTCTCCACCAAAGAGACAAAATATATTGCTGCAGAGGTTTGCAAAAAAATATTATGAATAAAATTTTTTTTACAAGAATTGAAGCTGAAATAAAAAAAGTTATGTGGTATATTGTGATAGCTAGAGTGCCATCCACGTATGTAAGAATCCCATTTTTTATTCCAAGTTAAAGTATATAGATGTTAGATACCACTAAAATTAAAATATATTTAAAGAGAAGCAGTTGTAACATCAGAAAATTCATATAAATGATAACGGGACAAACATGTTGACAAAGATTTTGCTGAAAGAAAGATAAGAAATGTGCCGACGATTGGTCGACATGACTTCATATTTAAGAGCTGAAGGGGGAGGTTATTGGGCACATACCCATTAATTAAGTCCATAGTAGACCTTAATAATGCATAGCTCAAAACAACTATTTAACCATTTCTCTTTTACAAGGCAAAAAGGGGACTTGCTGTTGTTGTGGGCATGGTTGAAAAAAGAAAATTACAACAGTGGTGGTTGAGAGAAAAAAAGACAAGACAATGTAGAAATCGTTTTCAATTATCTGCGCACTATTCTAGTCTCAGATTTGATCAGACTTGTAACAGATTTTTATTATGATTATGAAAGGAATGAGGTTTTAGATAATGTAATCTTTGTATTCTTATTATTCTCTTATGATTATTGCTCAAATCTAAGATTTATAATAGATTTATACATTCACTATCGAGATTTATATATTTATTATTTTTATAATAGATTTACTTCTTGGCTTACCATATGATTTTTTTTTTCATTTGTATCGAAGAGGATTTTTACATACATTTTGATGTTCTATGTGACTA